CAACCATCTTAAAAGGCTTTGGAGACGTCACGGGCCTTTGCACCAACTTCCACAAAAGCTTTGTCGTTCCCATTCGATGCGCCAACCTTGATCTTGTGAGCATTCTCAGCAGCATCCCGGCGACCAGGGCGTTTTTCCCTATCAAATACTTGGGCCTCCCGGTCTCGGTTTAGAGACTGAAGAAAGTTGACTTCCAATACCTCCAGGACAAGGCAGCTGGAAAATTGGTCGCCTGGGATGGGCAGAACATCACCACCATTGGGCGCACAGCCCTTGTTCGCTCTGTCATCACCTCTCAGGCTGTGTACTCCATCACACCACTCATTGTCCCTCAGGGTTCCCTTGACAACCTCAACAAGATTGAGAGAGCTTTTCTTTGGTCCGACTCTGACAAGACCACTGGTGCCAAATGTAAAGTCAACTGGGACATGGTCTGCCGCCCCACCAGCTATGGGGGTTTGGGTGTTCTTAACACCGACCAATTTGCTCGTGCTTTGAGGCTCAGATGGCTTTGGTTTGAATGGAAAGATACGTCCAAGCTCTGGGTCGGCCTGGGCAACCCTTGCACCGAGGAGGACCGTGATTTTTTCTACGCCTCTACTTCCATCATCGTGGGCAATGGGGCCAAAACGCCTTTTTGGGACTCCCCCTGGCTGCTTGGCCGCAAGCCGAAGGACATTGCACCTCTCGTCTTTGAGGCCTCGAGGAGAAAGAACTGGAAGGTGCGAGAGGCTATTACAGAGAATGCTTGGATGCTTACGATCAGACGAGACATTACCATCACTGGCCAGCATGTGCGGGAATTTTTCACCCTCTGGCTTCTCATCCATGACATACACCTCGACATCCACTCTGAGGATGACATCATTTGGAAGCACTCTTCGGATGGCTCATATTCGGCGTCCACTGCATACAAGGCACAATTTCTGGGTTTGACGCTTTCCCCCATGGACTCCATGGTCTGGAAAATGTGGGCGCCCCCAAAGGTCAAATTCTTCTCTTGGCTAGCCTTACAAGATCGGATTTGGACTGCCTACAGGCTAGAGCGACGTGGCTAGGACAACTGCGGTCTTTGCCCGCTCTATAAGCAGGTGCAGGAGTCGGGCGTCCACCTATTCGCCAAATGCCGCTTCACCTTGAGGCTTTGGCGGATGCTCATTGACAAGTATGGGCTTGCGCATCTGGACCCTTCTAACTGGCACCTTGAGGATTCCCTCCTCTCTTGGTGGGACAAGCGCACCAATTCGAGCATTCCGGATCGTCGAGCCATGGCCTCCCTTACCATGCTCGTATCCTGGACAACATGGAATGAAAGGAACGCTAGAGTCTTCCGCCACAAAGAGACGCCACCGCCAATCCTTCTCAAGCTTATTATAGATGAGGCCAACCTATGGGTTACTGCAGAGGCTAAACAATTAGGGAACATTGTATCGCGCGAGTAATTGTCATGCCGTACTCCGGCCTTGTGTAACTCTACAAAACTATTCTCCTCTACTTTAATAGATGAGGCAAATCTTTTGCCTCCGCTTCGAAAAAAAAAAGATGCCATTGCTGGCATCAAGTAATCGATCCCCATGCTCTCCCAGATCTATTTGCCACTTATTTTCTTCGAATTTCTCTTCCTTGGGTGGTGGCTATAGCTGGCCAAACGGGCCGGGATAGTTGGGTCGGCCCGGTAGCACGGCCGGCACGGCACGGGCCTGGCACGGCACGGCACGTGCTAAACGGGCCGGGCCCGGCACGCGGCACGCCATGGGCCGTGCCTGGGCCTGAAGGGCGAGCACGCGGGCCGGCACGGCACGGCCCGATTAACTTTTTTATATTTTTTTATGTATCCTAATATGGGCCAACAGGTAAAAATAGGCTAAAAACGCTCAATGCGCAAAATAAGAGGTAGATTAGTGGGCCTGGCGTGCCGGTGGGCCGGCCCGATTAGCATACGGGCCGTGCTTGGGCTGCAGGCTGCAGCACGCGGGCTGGCACGGCACGGCCCGTATAATAATCGTGCCTAGGCGGGCCGGGCCGTGCCAGGCACGATTAGGATGGGCCGTGCCGTGCCGGGCCGGGCCGGCCCGTTTGGCCAGCTATAGTGGTGGCTCAGGTGGCTGAATGAGTGCGTGCACACGTTTGACGCAGTCTCTATGGTGCGGATTCTCACTTACCTCGTCGACTCTGGCAACACGACCACGGTGAGAGCATCTCCAGCCGTTGAGCCCCCAGGAGGCATTTTTTTCGCCGCTTGGGGGGCTGCCGGCGAGATTTTTAGCGTGAGGATGAAAAAATCTCCAGCCGTTTCCATCCCCAAGCGAGCCGTCGTCCTCGCCGCTCCTGCTGCTCGCGCTGGCCATGTCGCTTCCGCTGCCTACGCGCTCATCCTGCGCACCACGGAGCACCCATCCATCGTGCCCTGCCACGGCATGTACGAGCAGGCCGGCGAGCTGCAGATCCTGCTCGAGTACATGGATGGCGGGTCCCTGGACGACCGTCGCATCGCGTCCAACCTGCTCATCGACTCGGGGCGGCGCGTCCCGCTCGGGGACAACCTGGGGAAGAAGGCAACTGGGCCGCCCTCAGGTGCGCCATCTGCTACTCCCTGGCGCCTGCTGCTCGCGCTGGCCGCGCCCGCGCCTGGCCGTGGCCGCGCTCGCGCTGTCGGCGAGCTTCCTGACCGCGGCGGCCAGGCACTCGCGGCACTGGGACGGGGCGGAGCCCGCGGACGGGCACTCCGGCGGAGCGCAGGGAGGCGAATCTCGTGGGCGCGGCGGCGGAGGGGAGCTTGGTGAGGATGGGTGACGCGCGGGCGCTCCTCCGAGGCCGCCGCGGCGGCGGCGACGAGGACGGAGAGGAGGAGGAGGAAGGGGGCGCAGGGCAAGCACGGCGAGCAGGCAGGAAGGCAAGGTGGAGCTGGGGCACGGGAAGAGAGAATCGGATGGGGAGAGGAAAAGTGGGGGCGAGAAAGCGACAGGAAGAGACAATCTGGGGGGAGATGTGGCTGCAAGTGGGCCACATGAGGCAAAAAAGCAGCGCCGGCGTCCCCAGCTGCCCCCCGGGGGGCTGGGTTCGGGGTGAGCTCGCCGGGGCTAATTTGAGTCAACTCCGGCGAAAAGTTAGCCTTTGGGGGCGTGAGTGGGGCTTTTTTCGCCCGCCGGCGCTGAAAAAGTGGTCCTGGGGAGCTTGTTGGGGGGCCTAGTGGAGATGCTCTGAGGGCTAGGTTGAAAGCGCCGGCTGCGCTGCTCAACCTCGTCTAGTCTTGGTAGGTTAGTACTTAATTTAAGAGGTAAATACACGGGTGGTGCTTAAACTTGCCATGGATGTTTACTTTAGTGCTTGAACTTGAAAAATACATTAAACTGGTTCTATAACTTGACAAGGAGGTGCAAATACGGTTCAAATCTCATATGTACACGCCCACGGTGCTGATGAAGCTTTCCAGCATGTCATTTTTCTTGGAAAGCCCCCTAACATTTTTTCTTACAAATAGGTCCTCAATTAGAAACATCACACATTTGTAAAATGAAAATAAAACTGTTTTGCCGGGGATTTAAATTTTAAACCTGTGGCCTACTTTTAGCATGCAGGCGTGGCCAGCCAGTCCACCGCTTCAAACTTACTGTGGTGAATGGATTCATATGATTTATATACACTAGGCGGAACAACATAAATTAACAGAATTTATTCCAGCAAAAAATAGTGTCGCGCCTGTGATTCAAACATCCGAGGTTATATAGCATCCTCGGATACCACTCCAACCAAAAAGATCTCATGTTTCTACAGTATAATTAGTATATATGACTGTAAAAAAATATAATTTAAAAGTATTTAAAATTTTACATGTGATTTTTAAAAAGAATGCATGTGTTATTTTATAACATATTCATAAAAAATTAAATATTTATAGAATTATAAAAATGTTATTTGATTTAAATATTATTCATGTGAGGATCTGCAATCTAAGAATTTATTTCAAAACACACAAACTTTTATGTATTATATAATCTTTTAAAACAACCCAAAATAATTCTTAAAGCATGAAACTTTCATGTACTACATGAATATTTTATAAAAAACATGGAATTTTATTAACTTATATGAGAATTTAGTTAAATATACAAAAGTTTAAAATTTTACTTTAATTTTTATTTAAAATCAAGCATGTTTTAAAAATATACAAATATTTTCAGAATTTGTAATTTAACAGTGTTTATTCTGTAAAATTATTGCCTAGATATTTTGTGAAATTAAATTAACTTTGTAAATATATTTTATGTTAATTATACTGTAGATTATTATTTATAAAACACGATTATCATTTACGTAGTTTTTTACAAATTTTAAAATGAATAAACCAACACATTGAAAATGGGCTGAAACGTGGTCCATTTTACCCCACAAGTGCATTATATTATAAAGGTAAATTTATCCTTTGTGGTATTACATCTCGTGTGTTTGAGTGGTATGTGTGGCCGCTATATGGCCTTACGTTGCCAACGGTTGAGTGGTATGTGAAATTTATCTCCAAGGTTTTTTTTAACAAGAAAATAATTTCAGGGGGCTTTTTTATAAGAAAATAATTTCAGGGTTTTATTTGCAAAACCAGACCACACGCCCATCTACCGATCGCTGACAGCAGGCCACATGCCACGCTGACATGCCTCGTCAGCATCGTGAACGTATAAAGATGAGATTTGAACCGTATTTGCATGTTCATGCCAAGTTGTAGAACCAGTTCGATGTATTTTACAAGTTCAGGCACTAAATTGCACATTTGTGGCAAGTTCAAGCACTAGTGGTATAATTACCTCTTAATTTAAATTTGCCTTGAAAATACCAAAATTTTACCAGGAAATATCGGCTTTCCGTCTACGTCAACGGTCGAGGTCGTTTGTACTAGTCTACTCCTGAGTCTTCACTTGGTTATTAATTCCCGGCTCCACACTCTTCGCCAGCATCCTGCAGGGGAAGCGATGAACCAAACTATTCCAAGTCCAAGTAAGCAAATCATGCCTCGTCCTCGTCTCCATGGCCGCGCCCCAGCTTCGCTTGCCATCCACCACCTCCTCATTTCGTTCCTCCTCACGCTGTCCCCGCTCGCGTCTGCGCAGCAAGAGTACGAGGCCAACGCGCAGAGCGACTGCTACGCCAACAACGGCAGCTCGGTCCTCGGCTACACCTGCAGCAAGAGCAAGAGCAACCACGCAAACTCCTCCTCGGCACCGGCATGCGCCACCTACCTGGCCTTCCGCTCCGATCTGCCCGGCTACGGCTCCCCAATCACCGTCGCCTACCTCCTCAACGCCAGCACGTCCGCCGTCGCCGCCGCCAACTCCGTGCCCGTCGCCTCCCCGGTCCAGAACGGCACCCTGCTCCTCGTCCCCGTCCGCTGCGCCTGCACGGCGGCGGGGCACTACCAGCATGACGCCGCCTACGTCATCCAGTTCGACTACGAGACCTACTTCTCCATCTCGAGCGACCTGTACCAGGGGCTCTCCACCTGCCAGGCGATGATGGCGCAGAACCCCGCGCATGATAGCCTCGATCTGTATCCCGGCATCGCCCTCACCGTGCCGCTCCGCTGCGCGTGCCCTTCGCCCGCGCAGGCCTCGGCTGGAGTCAAGTACCTCGTGACCTACGTCCTCGACTGGGACGACGACGCGTCCACCGTCGCCGACCGCTTCCACGCCGACTACCAGGCCCTGCTTCACGCCAATAGCATCACCGACGACACCACCGTATACCCGTTCACCACCATGCTGGTGCCACTCAAGGATCCGCCCACCTCTGAAATAGCGTTCCTGCCGGAGCCACCGACACCGTCACCAGCACCGTCCGATCCGGCGTCAGTCCCGCCGGCGAGTTCCACTGAATCAAGCAGTGGTCCTACTCCTAGGTGGCGGGTCGTCGTCGGCGTTGCTGCTGGATGCAGTGTTCTTACTTTGGGTGTCGTGCTTGCTCTCTTCTTGCTACGCCGTTGGTGTCGGCGGCACGGCGACCGTGGTGACCGAAGCAAGACCACCCTACCGGCAGTGGAGCATGCTGCGCCAGACGGGCCGGCGAAGGGAGCTTTGACGAGGGCGGCGTCCTTGATGTGGCCCATGGTGGTGCGCGAGGCAGTGGGGTCGCTGACCGTGTACGACTACGGGGATCTAGAGAGGGCGACGTCAGGTTTCTCGGAGGAGCAGCGTATTGGAAACTCGTCGGTCTACCGCGCGGTGATCAACGGCAGCGCTGTGGTCGTGAAGCGAGTGCCCGGCGACGTGGGCACTGAGGTGACCATCCTGGGGCGCGTCAACCACTCGAGCCTCATCCGCATGTCCGGCCTGTGCATGCACGGCGGCTACACCTACACGGTGTTCGAGTTCGCCGGGAACGGCGCGCTCAGCGACTGGCTCCACGGAGGCGAGGAGGAGGAGGGCCGCGTGCTCGGGTGGAGCCAGCGCGTGCAGGTGGCGCTCGACGTGGCAGGCGGGCTCAACTACCTGCACAACTACACCGATCCTCCCTACGTGCATAAGAATCTCAAGGCCAGCAACATCCTCCTCGACGCGTGCTTCCGCGCCAAGCTCTCAAACTTCGGCCTCGCGCGCGCGATCACCACGGACGACGAGGACGACGACCGCGGCGGCCTGTGGATGACCCGGCACGTGGTCGGCACGCAAGGTTATCTGGCGCCCGAGTACCTCGAGCACGGGTTGATCGGCCCCCAGCTCGACGTGTTCGCGTTCGGCGTCCTCGTGCTTCAGCTCTTGTCCGGGAAGGAGGCGGCTAGACAAGACGATGACGTCGGCGGCGGCGAGAACGGGAAGGTGGTATTGCTTTGGGAGGAAGCGGAACGGTTGGGCCTGGGCGGCGGCGCCGGCGACCTGCTGGACAAGGTGACGGCGTTCGTCGACGGCCGGCTGCATGGGCGGTACCCGTTGGACGTGGTGTTCGCTATGCTCGCGTTGGCACTGAGGTGCGTGGCCCGGGAGCCCCGGACGCGGCCGTCCATGGCCGAGGTGCTCCTTTCGCTCTCGGGAATGTACAATTGGACAATAAATTGGGACCCTCGGTGCCCTGACGGCACCGGAACTCGTCACGAACAATAGGTCCAGATTACTACTGTGCTACCGCATCCAACACGGCGGGTCACCGTCGGTGTACTTTCGCAAGACGTAGGCATCTTATGGACTTGTAATGCGATCAAGATCAGAAGTAAACCTTGGCACTGAAGTAAACTCAGTTCCAATCATCATGTCATTTTCTTGTTAGTATTAAGATCGTTAGGGGCATGTACAATGGTAGCATTACCTTGGTGATGCCTCAGTACAGCCACGTCGGTCAGGAGAGATGAGACCACCGTGCAATTTCACACCTATCCAATGCAACAGCAGCCCCACGACGTTTTTTTTCGAAAAGGGGGCTCCCGGCCTCTGCATCAGAAAAATGCATACGGCCACATTTATATAAAAATAAATAAGTTCAACAGAGTCTAGCGGTCTGCTTCAAAAAGAGCTGGCTCACAAAGAGCAACAAAAGCAAATAAGGCCCAAAAGCCACAACCGGCTGGCAAAAGATGAACATGTACACTAGTCGCCTATCCTATTACATGACCGCCATCCAAACCGGTTGAAGATATCCCGCGCTACCATCTCCCACCGGAGAGATGCAGTAACCAAACGCTCTGTGGCCTCCGTCGGAGTGAGTAAGGACCACATACGGATTAGCGCAGTAGCCCGGAATGCAACCTGCAAAAAATGAATAGTTGTTGTTCTGTTAAAAGCCAAATCATTTCTGGAGTTTCAAATTGCCCATAACAACGCACACGCTCCTACGCGAATTTGTTTAGCTGTTTCGGACTCCATCCCAACCAGCCACGTTCCAAAGAACGACCTGACCGAATGTGGAGGAGGAATGTTAAAGGCAATTTGCACCGAACGCCATAAGACCTTCGCCAACGGGCAATCAAAGAAGAGGTGCTTGATATTTTCATCCCGATCACAGAAACTACACCTAGTAGATCCTGTCCAGTTTCGCTTAACCAAATTATCTTTCGTTAAGATAACTTGTTTATGTACAAACCACATAAACACTTTGATTTTCAGAGGAACCTTAACTTTTCAAACATGTTTGGAAGTAGGAATCACACTAGAATTGATGACATCAATATACATCGACTTGACTGTGAATTCCCCAGATCTAGTAAACTTCCAACACAGCTTATCGGGCTGATGCTTAAGCTGAACCTCCATCAGTCTACGCACCAGATGAAGCCAGTCTTCCCACTGGTCTCCAACAAGCACCCTCCTAAACTGAATATTCAGGGGAGTGGACTGCAAACTCGTTGCAACCAGAGCATCACGACGCTGCACAATACGATAAAGCGAAGGATACTGAAGCGCCAACGGCGCATCCCCCAGCCAAGTATCCTCCCAGAAGCGAGTATTGTTGCCATCACCAATAATAAACTTTGTTCTATTAAAGAAAGTAGCTTTGACTCTCATTAGCCCTTTCCAGAATGGTGAATCAGTCGGTCTGACTGTCACCTGCGACAAAGTCTTAGAGTGGAGGTACTTGTTATGCAGAATCTGTGCCCAAGTAGCTTCAGTCTCAGCAGCTAACTTATATAGCCACTTACTGAGAAGACATTTGTTCTTGACCTCAAGATTTTCAATACCAAAACCCCCTTGGTCCTTCGGTCGGCAGATGACGTCCCATTTGGCTAAACGGTACTTTCTCTTAAGTTCATCACTTTGCCAGAAGAAACGGGACCGATAGAAGTCCAGCCTTTTCCTAACTCCAACTGGTACTTCAAAAAAGGACAGAAGGAACATAGGAAAACTCGTGAGCACCGAATTAATAAGAATCAACCGGCCTCCATACGATATGAGTTTGCCCTTCCAGCAACTCAGTTTCTTCTCAAACCGATCCTCGATACACTTCCATTCACTGTTAGTCAGCTTACGATGGTGAATGGGGATATCTAGGTAATTGAACGGGAGTGCACCCAATTCACACCCAAACAATTGCTTATATGCATCTTGTTCCTCTTTGGCTCTACCAAAACAGAACAACTCACTTTTATGGAAGTTAATCTTCAGACCGGTCAATTGCTCAAACAGGCACAACAGCCCCATGACGTGAGCCTACTCTCCCACCGAGATGCTATCTGTACCGGCCTTTCTCCTTCCTCTCTCTTTCTTTCACTTCTACCTCTCTTTCTCTTCATTTTTTCATCTCTCTCATACTTTCTCTCTTGAAGAGGCCGCCTCCTCTGCAGGAACCCGTTGTGCTCTGCAAGCTATCACTTTAGCACCACGCTAGCATCCGAGCCTAGCTGTCTCGTGAGGCATCACCTCTGAGGCTACCCGTTGGCCTTGCCCTTAGTACTCTTTCTACAAAATCTTAGAGCATCTCCAACCGCAGCCTTGAAACAGGACACTTGGTGCAAAAATATATTTTTCTTACCATTTGAGCCCAAAAAGGAGCTCCAAAGCTACCCTAAGAGCATCTCCAACAGACGCGCGCTAAAAAAGTTTTGCAGCACTGAAATAATGTTTTTGCGCGCAAGAGGTTTACCGTACGCACAAAAACACGGCGCACAACCCGGCGGCCCCACATGCAGCAGCCCGCACGCGCAAGCCGGCGGCCCAAATTTGCAGGCCCGCGTGCGCTAAATTTACAGCTTCGTTTTTGTGTGTGCTCTATTTTACAGCTTCTGCCGGAGAGCTGTTTTTTATCGCGGCTATATAGGTATCTTTTTCAACGGGCGCTTTATTTGGCGTGTCTGTTGGAGATGCTCTAAACATATAAAGTTGTGGTGCCCAAAAAATAAGACCAAGGTGATCCAAATTTAGATCACGCGTTGTCGTGCCCAAATACAAAAAACACCGCGCGTGTGTGGCCAACTGCCATATGGAGTTTCACCCCGCCTCTCGCGGCTGCCGCTGCCATGGAGCGCACCGCCAACCATGCCATCGACCCCGCACCTACCGGTCCTCGGTCAGGCCCCCATCCCCCTCGCCGCAGTCGTGGCTGACTTGTCGTCATCCGCTACACCGTCATTGCGGCACCACAAGCTGTCGTCACGGTAGGAGGTGCGGTAGCATCTGAAAAAGAAAACTTTGCATTTCCATGGGAATTTAAAATCCTCATGGAGACACTTCTAAAAGGTTGTCTTTGGTTTTGCGGCCTTACCTATTTTTTTAAAGAAAAAGCTCAAATGCCACACATTAAGTACTACATGTTTACAAACACACCCATACATAAAGATAAAATTACATTTAAAATCTTGGGGGTATGAAAAACTCTTGTGAATTCCTTCCTCTCTCTCCTCTTTGTGACACATAACTCGCATGAAGCATACAAAAAAAAACCACGACATCTTTTCGTTCCCTCCCTCCCTATAATCAGTCTTTGGCAAATGGTTTCCAAAAGCCTAATTTTTGAATGTTACACTACAATAATCTGATATGATCGTATAGAATACAATATCCTTGGTTAATCTTTCTGCCACCAATGGAAAATCCCATGGACACATTAGCGCGTAATATACACTAGTAGACTCTACAACCTTCCATTGAGTTTACCTATAAGTGGACTCTCGAACAATGCAAAACTTCTTGTTGTGATATTTGTGTACTACGTTAGGTAGATAAATATACACTTTGTGTATGTATATGTACAACATTGTTCTTAGACGGAAAAGTTGATTTGTAGTTTTGTTCTCTCTACATATGGCTCATAATAGAGATAATGATACTCAGTCGGGAAACAATGTTGCGGGTACATAACATGTCCTTTTTGAAGTTATAAATTTTATTGTAATAATTGGCTAGAAAAATTAATTGACTAATAGCAGTAATAATATAAAATCCAACTAACTATATATGTATCCATATGTAGATGATATGAGTGAGGATGACTTATCCTCTGATGCATCACCTTTTTCTTTGGGGAATTCAAATGGTGTTCATCTTATTCTCTTCCCTTTTCTAGTACAAATTATCATGTAGTTTACCTTGAAACTAGCAATTCACTTATATTCTAATTTCAGGTAGTCCGGTCGTTTTCAATATCACCGATAGGGACATGGACGACGAAATTATAACAGTTCAGAGTTCACCCCCTGAAGATAGCCCACCCGATAAGCGAAAATCACTTTTGGAGAATAAGAAGAAGAAGAAGAAGAGAAAGGTTACAGAGGACGAGGATAACAAAATGGAGGAGGAATCAGATGGGAAGGAGGACAACGCAGGCGAGGAGGAAGAGGAGGACAGTGAGGAGGAGGAGGAGGACAGTGAGGAGGAGGAGGATGAGTGAAGTCTACTTTCCTAGGTAGTTTTTTTATAGTGGCACCCTTTCTTCTTGCTCTTGGGAAAGATTTAGCGTTTAGCCGCTTAGTCGTTTGTTTCAAGAAGCAATGGTGGGCTCTCCATAGCTGCCTTGTGAGCAATTCCGTGTACGCCATTATCCTATCTAGGGTAGCATTTAGGAAAACAAAAAAATATAATATAAAAATATTATTATTTTCATCTGCTTTGTTTAGTTGGACCATTGATTTTTTGTATTTCCATGACATTCACGATCACTTTTTTGTGAACATTTTTGAAAAAAAACTCATGATTTTTTTTGAATTTGCAAAACTTTTGTTCGACTTCACGAATATTTTTTCAATACGTTAATATTTTTTCAGAATCACTAATATTTTATGATTTGAGGAATAATTTTCCAAAATTCACATGTTTTTTTATATTTGGTACTTTTTGAAATTCCCAATTATCTTAAAGAAGAAAAGGTAAAAAAGTAAAAAAAAACGTAATGAAAAGAATTGAATACACTGGAGGTCCTAAAAGTTCCGGCGCGGTGTCACTTTAGTCCTATATTTTTCAAAATGCACCTTTAGGTGCTAATTCTATAGTAAGTGGTTTATCCGAGGTCCTTTTTCCCACTAGGGGCTCGCTGACCTGCTTGTGTGGTGCGTTGACCCCATGCCACATCGACTCGGGAGAGGAGATGAAAAAGAAGAGAAGAGAAACAATACAAGTTCATTTGGAACAATTAGAGAGAAGGGATTTGGGAAAGAACGAGAGCCAGGTAGTGGGGATTG